AGATTTATCTTTAGAATTATTTGAACTTAACTTACAATTGCCTCCATTATTCGTAAAAACTCATTGGAATAGTTAGTTTAATTTTGTTATCTGGATGAAATCATATTTCTTATTTCTTGTTCAAATCTTATTATGGAAAATATGCTTAACAATCCTCCAAAAGCAGTTAAAGAATTGACCAAAATTTTTTTGAATCATAAAAATATTCTGATCATCGAATTAATCATCGAATTTATTACTTTAAATGCTCAATAGTAAGAATATACAATATTATTGTTATATTTATTAAATATAATTACTAATTAATTATATTAATTAGTTTAATTCAGGATGTGGAATTTTTTAAAATTCGTAATAAACCTGTAACTCCTTATATTTTTTTGTGAATTAGTCAAACTCATGCCATGTTACCAGCAGGTATTGAAAATCAACGTTTAACACATTTATGTGCAACAAGATTCAAGAAGAGAATTTAAATTTAATGTTCTTTAAGTCAATTTTTTTGCAACTTTTCAATTATCATTTGACAAGCTTACAAAACATGTTGATAATCATTCCGCATTATCACTTTTTAATGCTGTACAATGTTTTGACCCTAAATTTATTCGGTATTCAACATCACGACAAGATATTAAACATTATATTATGATAGAGGAATTTAAAATTTTAAGTGATGATTTATTAAATGAATGGAACATTTATTGTAAACTTGATGAAGAATTGGATGAAAACATAAACTTGGATAAATATTGGAAAGAAAAATCTGACGGTTTACCTTCTCTTTCAAAAATCGCTTTATTTTATATCTGGTTACCTGTATCCGGTGTTGATGTAGAACGGAGTTTTAGTAATTATAAAAATATTTTAAGTGATAAGTGGCATAATCTTTCACAAGATTCTTTATCGATGCTAAACTTACTTTATTTTAATAGTGCAGTTTAATTTTTTTTTCGTTGATATTTTTTTTTCATTTAAAATTTATTTTTCATTTTCGTAATTTTCAAATTCATAATTATCACATGATGTAGTGATAAATCAAAGTTAGAACAATATAATTATGTATAAGGTTCCTTACATAAATATCGCACAATTTGAATTTATCACATCGCATCACGATGTATTTTAAATCGCATAATCTGGGGTCTCTACTCTCGTTGCTGATTAGTAACCAACCCCAATAGGAAATATGGAAATTTTGACAAATTTCCATTTCGGGAATAACAACGTACCGGTATGTACCGGTACAGTACAATACAAACAATATTTGCTTTCTTAATATAGCAATGACGTTTTTTTAATGAATTAGCACGATATCTGCGCCTTTTTACGTGCTGTTCAGTACATGTCCCGTGTACATTTGCATGCAATTTCGTATTTAAATTCCATTTACTGTGCAGTGACTTCTCATAGGGCTAGTTGAATACAATGAAAAAAATCTTAAATTAATCCAACAAATTTGCAGAATCCATCTAGAAGGATTTCATTTAATTGTGTTGATTAGTTATTGGAAAACTTTGTTCAATGTTCGGCATTGAATATTTTTAAAATTGACGAAAGTTTTTTGTTAACCATTTTTTTTAGATGAATTCTGCAAATTTGCAGAATTTATTTCATCGAATTTGATGAGTTAGTAACCAAGATACTTTCATGCACGTTATTTACAAAAAAAAACTTTTTATGTAAAAGATTTTATTATTCTATCAGTACTATGATATTTGTTACGCACATTTTAATTTAATGAATCTTGAGCAATTTTAAATCTGCACTAGATTGCTTGGACTTTTTGTTTTTTCAATACGCCATATTTTTATATCTATTTGAACTTATCTGATGAAAATATAGTGAATACGAGTTAAATTTATAATTTATTATTAGTGATATTGGATTATACTATTTTTATAAAATGATTAAAGGTGAAACCTAATTTCTTGATGAAGACGAAAATGGAATCTGAACAAAGTCTTGGTAAAACCTAGTGCTATAATTATAAGCTAGGGCATTATTCTTCAAAGATGCATTAAATTTATGTGTATTGCGATTGTATCAAGAACATAATAAAACGGTATTTGGAAAATTTGTGCTAGGTTATGCATGTTTTCCATCATGTAACAATTGTCTAAGTTTCTTGCCGTGATGAAAATTTCAACATTTGAGCGAAAATATCAATAGTTACCTTTTAAAATCGACAAAAAAAAATTTTTTTTTATTTTAATTCTATGAATAAATATAATTAAAATAAAAAACTTTCATCGGTTTTAGTTAGGTAGTTATTGAATTAACATCTCTCAAAGTTTGGAAAAAACTTAGCCGCGGTCTTGCTTTGATAATTGCCGAAATTTTTTGAACTTTGAGCGATGATATCTCAATAACTGCTTATCTAAACTCCATAAATAATTTTTTATTTATTTTACTACTATGGATCATAGAATTAAAACAATATAAAATAAATACGCAGATTTAAGCAGGTCGTTATCTAGCTATCAAAAAAATTTTAGCCGATTATTAAAAGGACCACGGTTAGGTTTTCTAACCTTTGAACGATGATATATCAATAACTACTTATACAAAATCGATGAAATGTTTATTTATTTTAATTCTATTGATTCATAGAATTAAATAAAAAATTCGGAATGATTTTAAATGAGTAGTTATTGTCTCAAAGTTTGAAATTTTTATTACAGCTAGTGTACTTCGACAACGAGGATACGCCTTTTTTGTAAAGGGCTATTAAATTATGTCTAGCTTGTCAACGAAGTGACAAGGCTAGCATTATTGCGAGATAAGAAGATCTCATATCACGTGCAGAATGGAAAATGTATCCTTTTATGGCCAGTACTGTAATACAGGTTTGGGGCGCGTTCAATGAGTTTAGTAAGAATAGAAGGTATTAAGTTTACGTACAACACATATGAAAAGGGGGTTAGCTATGAGGAGTTTTTTAATGAATCAGCATGTGAAGGATGGATGCTTCCATGTGAAGTCTATATGTATAAGCGGGTAGGAGGTTAAGGCAGTAAGTATTTAAAGTTATGAGCGAATGTAAGAAGCATTAGTTTCGGTTTCGCTATTGCCCGCCTTATAGTACTAGGCTGGCTCTTTCGACCCTCCCATGCCCCCCTTTCAATAAATGAATTACGCAGCTCAATGATCATTTGATGCAAAGACTGCATGAATCTTTCAAAGTGGCTCAACGACTATCCTTTTAGTGCAATGACCACAGAGTTCCTATAATCTAAGTAAATTGGCAGGGACCTATTAAATTAATGTATACTATTTATTTTCCCGATTCTCTTTCAATGCTATGTTTGTACCACTGATCATATGTATATTCCTGTTTTTTATATTCAATAAAGAGCAATAATAAATCGAGGTCAATCAATTCTAAATTAATCGAGATCAAACAATTCTAAATTAATCGAGATCAAACAATTCTAAATTTATCCAGATTAATAAATTCCAAATTTATCGTTATCAAACAAATCCATATAAGCAAATACCCCATGTTGTGTTCCAAAAGTTATTTATGCAAGTACATAACGTATAGGAATGAATTTCGGAACACCTATAATAACGGTTTTTGCACGATAATTATAGATTGAGAATCACTACGTATGACAATATAAAAAGTACATCTTTTTAGCATTTAATGAAAGAATTAAAAGTTTGTTTTTGACTTTAAATTATGACTATTAATCTTGATTTAATCATGACTAATCTTGATTTAATCATGAGTTTGTAACATAACAGATAAATTTGGTGTATTAGGCTGAGCAAAACAAGGCCGAAACTAAATCAAAATTGTAAGCTAAGCTTAAAATGAGAAAGAGACTATGACAATAGTCATTTCTAGACTTATATGTTAAATATCCATGCAATTTTGTTTGGACCTTGAATTTGCAACATGATGCGATCAATAAAAGTGAGCATGAAATATGTAAAGCCGGTTTGAAGTAAGACCGGGTGATGTGGCTGTACTTGAAATGAGGCTGAGAATCGATGCTGAAAATTACATTAAAAAATTGGATAAAACATAAAAAAAATCGTATTTTATTTATATACTTATTTCTTATATACTTTTGTAGTTATCTTAAACGTCAACCTTGTGTATGAGCTCAATTTTATTAAAAAGGGAAATATAATGTAAAACTAAAGCCGAGTAGGATTGAATGGTATAAAAATGTTGATGAAAATCTATGACCTACAAATTTCCATACTTTATGTTTCTATTCAAAATTATCATTATTTGTATTGTATTTTGTTTTAGAGCTTTTTTTGATTTCAATGAATCATATCTAATAAACGGTTAGCGACAAAGCTATCACATGATCATGTACTAGTTATCTGCTTATACGAAAATTCGTTAGCTAGTGATTTTAGTGATACAGAAAAACTTCTCTATTTACAATTAACCTTTGATGATAATAAAAAAATTGCATTTAAAGAGGTAGTATATTTAGAGGTGTGCACCCAGGCACCAGGCGTGCGCACCCAGGACCGGGCACATCCACCTAGGGGCTGGGCACAACATGTGCGTGCGTACGAATAACAATAAACTAACCTATTAATCTTTTTCCTTTTTTGAAATTGCAGAAGCTTACGTACGTACTAAGGTAGTCGCGTTTGTCAAATAATTATATGAAATAAAGAAATACAATATATAGTGGATTTAGAGTATAATAAGAGAAATAGCATTTAAGCAGATTTGTTTACATGGGCTAATGTAATAATGTTGTGTATGTGTAGAGCCATTTTAAATGCATTTAGAGAAATTTCTTCTGTACAAATTATTTACATGAATTAAAGAAACAATAGCGCGTATATGTGTAGCATGAGAGTTATATAAAGGGAACAAATGGTTCTAAACCATATCTCTAATTCCTTTTTATTCATTATTCTTCACTCAAATTCTTTTTGAAATTACAATTTCGTCCTTAAATTATATAATCAATTTTATAAAATCGTTAAACTTATTTATTTCACTTCATAATCATAAATTTCAAATGAATATTAAACTTTTTACTCTTTTCATTTTTCTTGCTGTTCTTTGCGGTAAAGCTCTTTCTACGTCATTGTATTGTGTTTATTTTTTTTGTAATTGAAGTTACATTATTTTTACTTGTTATTTAGTCATATCACATGAAGTAATTGCTAAAGAGTGTGCCAAAGATAAAAAATGTCGCAATAAATATGTGCGTATCTAAATTTTTTTTCCATCTCTTGGCTTTTTTTTTTCTAACTTTCTTTAAATTATTATATTTGCAGTGTTCTGATCAACAGACATGTTGTAATAAAGACTGCACTAACACTAATTCTGATTCAAAGAATTGTGGAACTTGTGGCAACGCTGTATGTATTAGTCAATTAATTTTTTTGACAAAATTATCCTATTTTTAACTTAATCCTTTGCAGTGTGCTCTTGGACAGATTTGTCAAAGCGGAACGTGTGTCAGTGGTTGTAATGTTGATGCAGATTGTCCCAGCGGTCAGTTGCTTAATGCGACTAATTATCCTTACCCTGCCACTGGCATGTGCGTCAGCAATAACTGCTATCTTTGCCTACCATGTCATGCTCAGTACTTTTGCTCTCAAGTTTCAGCAACTTGTATTTCTCAAGGATGTCCTAATAATGCTGATGCTTGCACTTGTTGCGCATTTGGTACGCCTCAATAGCTAATTTTAGATTAAAGTAAAAATCATTGCAAACCAATTTTCAATATGGATTTGACTAGTGACATAGCGTCGCTTACTAAAGTGGGAAAAAATTTTGGTATTAATTTTTGACTAGATTCATATATTTTATTTAGACTTTTTACTTTTACCCAGACTTATAGTTTCTTATACTGTACTACATCTGTTTTTAATAATTATAAACATAGTATTATCTAAACCTAATTTTTCTAAATGTTCTTTTACTTTATCTAAATTCATTTGGACGTTCATTAAGTTTCTATTCGATATGTTCGAGCTTTTATTTGTTTATTTATTTGACTCAAGTGTTACTTCATAATAAAGAAACTTTATAGAAATCAAATATTTTTATATTTTATAAGCTAACAATTTATAATTAAGAAATCACTCCGGATGAGCATGTGATTGTTCAACCATTTTTGGTAAAAATTTGATCGGCAGTAATTCGATAACACCGAAAACTTCACCCAATCAATTTTATCAGACTTTTAATTTGTGTTGATCGACGTTCTACATAGTGTTAGACCCGAAACACGTGATCCACAAGTGATGTGGGATCTTTGCCGTATGACCCTAAGTCACGCTCTCTCGGCTATGTAGATCATATACCTTAAATGGGTGTACCGGCAGTATACGCTG